GTCCCTTTAGGGAAAACCGTAATTGGGACTTAGACACATTAAGGAGCTTATCGCACCATTGAAGGTGTAAGGGAAAAAGCTAAGAGCTTATATTTGTACTTCAGTAAGTTGAATGTTAATAACAATTACAGAGAAAACATGATACAATTCTTATTTCTGCTTAAAGAGTAATAATGATTTGATTCAAAAAATTTCTTTTGGATCTTGAGTTTAGCTCTTGTTTGCGAGTATGACCATAAGGCTATACTGTGTAGCCTTTAAAAGTAATCACTTTTCTAGATTGAATGCTAATAAATAATTGTAAATAAATGAATTTAATAAGCTTAGAGTCTCATCTTATTGTAGGATAGGTTTTATCATAAACTGTCCTGTTATGTCAGTTGTTTTCCCATTTGGTGATAGTATACTTTAAACACATCATAGTCCTATTTAAATTTCCATTTACTTTTAGCAATTAAAACATTATCTTTGAGGAAATGACAAGAATTATGTCTGCTAAGAACATTTTCTGTGGGGCAGGCACTAGCAACTACTTACATTTAATCCTAGTAACAACTTTGTAAAATATATACTATTATTATATATTATATATATTATTATCCTGTTTTCCTGATGAAGAAACTGAGCAAAGAAAATGGCTGTAGAATTCATTTGTATGTTATCTTTGTATTTCTAAGAGTTATTGTCCTGTCAGACAGAAAAAAAAATGTGAGAAAAATGCAGAGTTCTTTCGTGTATGATGTTGTGTTTCTTATGCCCTTTCAGCTTGTGACAATGATGTTGAAGTTAAAACAAGTTAAATTAGGTAAAAGAATGGATTGTCATTGAAATTTCTTTAGAGTTAGAAAGATGATAAAATGAGCTGAAAATGAAAAATCCAATGAAGGTGTTAGAGAAATTAAATATATTTTAGGTTGGAAACTGCAGATGTGGATTACCCATAAATGCAGGAGAGTTAGATATTAATTTGTCATGAACCCAGGAAAGACCAAGTGACTCTAAAGCATTTGGAGAACCAATTGGTGAAGTGACTATTAAGGAAACCAGTATTGATCAGTGGTGGAAGAAGATAATCCTACATGTATGCAGTCTGAGTCTCATTTCCTAAACGGGGGCAGCACAGGGGAGAAAACTCTTGAAAAATAACCTCAGTCTGCTCTGATGGTTAATTTGAGCTCATATTGTTTTCTTAGTCCAGTGGTTCTCAAGGATTAGGTAGATTTGCCTATTTTAGAACTACCAATCATCTCCAGGTTGTTTGAAGTCCTTTACATTTGTGTTTTAGGACAAAAGTACCTGAGTAGTTGAGGCTGTAATAATGCAGTGATTGTCAAGCTTTAGTATGCCTCAGAATCACCTGAACAGCTCATTAAAACAAAAATGTTGGGCCCCTGCCCCAGGGTCTCTGATTCAGTACTTCTGGGTTGAGCTCCATAATTTGCATTTCTAACAATTTCCCCAAGTAATGCTGATGTTGCTAGTCTGGGGAGCACACTTTGAGAATCACTACTTAGGGAGGTAAGTCTTTTATCCACTGTAAAGTTAGAAATAAATATGGAAATAGTGAAATTTATTAAATGCTTAAGATTAATATTTTTATATTAAGTTTAGGGGGAAATCATTATAGTTGGTCTTTGGAATATTTGTCCCATTTCAAAGAATTAGGCATATTAGAACACATACAAATTAGTCTTGTGAATCTGATTTAAAATGAATACTTGTTTAATTGTTTTTTGGCTTGTGGTGATTTTAAGTTGAAAGGTACAAGTAGTTGGCTAAATTTAGAAAGCACTGAAATGTTTCAGAGAAGTTAACATTCATTATATTTAATACTATTGTAATGTATTTATTAGAGTTAAGTTCTTACAAGGGTTTACTTGTTAGAGGAAATTACATAAAGTGTTTAAAAGAGAATATAGTAAATTTATTGATGCAGTTGAGTATGCATTAGAGAATTTATTTACCCAAGTTTATAAATAGTTATTTAAGGATATTTAGTTTGTTTTCAGTCTGAGATCAGTTATCATATACACCTTAGAAAGTGCTACAATTTACTAGACTTCTGAGTAGAATGCACTTCATAGTTGAAGGTGTAAGGGAAAAAGCTAGGTTTTTTTTTTTTTTTTT